ACAGAGTGCCAGAGACCATCATCCTGACGGCCGCCTCCATTCCTGTGAACTGATCTAAAGCCATACTTCCACTTTGTTCTGGGGATGGCTTTTTTAGTCTCCTGCCTCTGTTCCTTCCTCAGCACAAAGAACATAAGTGAAGGATGAAAGCGTAGCAATAAAATAATCTTCTCTTTCTTTATCCCAGGCAAGTAGTATACTCGCAAGGTCAGAGTTCTGAATTTTTTCCTAAAGGACTTCAATTCAACAGTTCCTTGAGGTGTCTGCTGTGAAATAAGTATCAGTTGCAAAACTTAATCACTTTTAAAATTTTACATCTCCTTTTCTCTTAAAGCAGCTTCATTTAGCCAGGCTTGCTATTTAGCTCTGATTTGCCACTCTATAGGGCAGTGAGAAGGATTAAATTAGACCCAATTGGATGCTGGAAGTTACTACATATTCCATAAATAAGAGGTTTCCTACTTGGAAAAAAGGGAGCTTAAAATTTGTGAAATAAGCATATTGCGGTACTCTTCCCTAGCTGGCTCAAAGTCTTACCAGCTTTTTAGTGCCTTTATTTCTGGGTAGGAAGAGGAGATGCATTAACATGAAAGGATACTAGGCACCCTCCTGTATCGGAATAATTTGAAAGGTTTCCAAACCTCTTTGTTTTTAAACCTCTCTTTCTTGAGGACTCTTGAAAAATTCTCTCATATTCTGACTTACATGATTGAGGCAGTAAAGTTAGCTCTTAACATAATATTACTTGGGTGAGTTTTAAATATGTATTCTCAATAATTTAGCTTAACTGTGCTAGTGCAACTAGCCCTGAAAGGATAAGATGGAGTACTGCTAAGTTTCTGTGGTTAGACCAAGAGCAGAATTAAAAAATAAAATGCCAGTCCTTGTGAGACTGTGGAAAAGGGGTAACCTGGTCAAAAAGAAGCAACGTGAACATTTTTGGAAAGGGAATGCTCAGAATGGGTTGGAGAAGAAGCAGTTGCTGACTCTTATATGTTCATTGGGCATTTATTCAACTTAGCTATTTAATGTGCATTCAATTCAATAATTATTTTTATTTTCATTTTGTCTAAGATTTTATGTTTCCTGTGGTGGGAGTCAGGTTGACATTGCTTCTGAACTTTGGCGAGTTACTCGGGGGAGGAACCTGGAAAATAATGGTAGTCAGAAAAAGACCAAGGAGGAAGAACAAGAACACAGATTAGGGGCAGACCCTCAATGGACACTTTTCTTTCAATAAACACTTAGGAGAAGGAGAAAGACTGGAGATGGATGGGAGGAAGGAAGGAAGGGAAGGAGGGAGGGAGGGAGGGAGGGAGGAAGGGAGGGAGGGAGGAAGGAAGGGAGGAAGGAAGGAAGGAAGGAAGGAAGGAAGGGAGGGAGGGAGGGAGGAAGGAAGGAAGGAAGGGAGGGAGGGAGGGAGGAAGGAAGGAAGGAAGGAAGGGAGGGAGGGAGGGAGGAAGGGAGGAAGGAAGGGAGGGAGGAAGGGAGGGAGAAAAAGAGGAAGGTAGGAGGGAGGGCGAAGGGGGGGAAGGAAAGACTAATTCATACCCAAAGGGCAGTATCAATGGGGAGAGCAAAACAGAAGGTGGATCTAGGCAAAAAGTCCAGAGCTGGAAAATGTAAACTTACATAAAAGTTCATAAGCCTTTTAAAAGTGAAAATTGACAGTAAACAGTCCAAAGTGGGGCTCCTCTCACAGAGGAGTGAGAGGTCTTGGGACCACAGCCTCCTGAGCCTCCTTGCTGGTGCTGGGCAGTGCCCCGCAAAGCAGCACCTAAGAACCCAGGGCTCTGTAAGATCCAGTTAAAATCTCTGGATAAGTGAGTTTTTCATTCTGAAATAACTTTAGACTAATCTTCTTCTTCTTTGGAGTCAGGTAAACACCTGTTTCTGCCGCAGATGGTAGCATACCATTGCATACCCCAACTTCACGAACATGTTTCTGTTGCTGGTTTTGTAGGTGGGCTTTCTAGAAAAGTAGTTGTGATGCCATATAATTCACATTATTTTATCCATAGCTAGTGTATATTCAGTTGGATAAAATCCCAAAGCCTTTTCATCTACCCTGCTGCCCAGTCAGTTCTCCCCCATTTGTTATTCACATAATTGATACTTTGATCCTAAATGGAAGCTTAATTACTAATAAGCTATCAGAAAATGTGGCTTGAGTATTTGACAGCAATGGCCCTACTGTAGTTTCCTGTAGAATTAGGCAAAACTTAACCTCTGTCAGGCATTGTGGAAAGTCGCAGGGCTTTCTTGTGGTGTGGGGGACCCTCATTACCATGATGCAGAGAGCAGAGCTGTACACATATGCTCTGCGGGTTTGCAGATCCCAAAGGTCAGTGGGGTAAGGGCAGGGATATATATCCATGCTCCATTCTCCCTCTGATTTGACCAACTGGATGAGTAACTAAGTAACTCACTCCCTTTGTACTTGGGAGGAGCGAATTAGGTGGCAAAGAGAGCCTGGGGAATAAATTTAATAGAGATATAACATCGTCATAAAGGAAGTTCCTTCTTAATTGGCTCTGAATAGGCGCCCAGACCTGCCTGGAGATGGGGAGCAGAAGTGGGTCAGGCATTCTGTTAACTGTAAAAGGGTAGAAGGAGTTCTGCACTGACAAGGTTGAGAGGGATATATTTAGGCTTGTCTCCCCCATGTACACATTTTCATAATAATATTCTGCTAGCTTAGGCTTAGGTCTCAAATCTTTGCTTACCCCTCTGCCTGGGCTCTGCTTTCTCAAGCACTGTCAGCTCTGTAATTATCCAGTATAGAGTATGACAGATCTGTCCCTTTCCAAATACTCTAGGATCACATGAGTGACATATTCCTGAGTGTTTCTAGGGACCCAGGATTCACAAATATTCTTACTCTATTTTGGAGGAATAGGATATGTTTTTTTCTTCTCTAGATTTTTGACATTTCTCTGTTTTTCCATTGTTCCCTTCAAGATTGTTTAATGTAGAAGGTGATTGTTTAATAAGAAGGTGATTGTTTAATCACCTTCTTATTCCACACTATAAATGAATTTGATATGGAACTAAAAATGTGAATGCATTTCAAGCTGATCTCCCATAAAATTAATGGACTTTATCTTTAATCTGTGTAAATGGTATTTACCTCTAATTATTTTAAATCACAATGATTTGCACACATGGAAAAATAGTCGCTAGTAGAGCATAATTTATTTTTGATTAAAAAAAGCGAGACACCAGCGTTCTGCCATATGCCTCCTCATCTTATTGGCCACTCCCCACAGCCACCTCCTCTCAGCCACTTATATTTTCAGCATTTTGGTAACTACTTTCAGAACTCTGGATAATATGTTGGTGTCACCATTTCTGAACTTAATCACTTGAAATAGTTATCTAATTCTTCTCTCTTTTGAAAGATGAGCATTTAGCTTATGCCTTCTTGGCCCCTATTCTTCTCTATATTCTTGTTTCTTGTATTATTTATTCTTTCCTGGTTTGCTTTTATAGCTGTAAATAATATCCTGCTAAATTTCTTGATCCTATTGTTTTAATTAGCAAATGACACTATTTTATAAGATTATTTTACATTACACTTCCTTTTATATTTCCTATCCACCTTTTTGACACTTACAGTTACATGTACTTCTAATTCTTACATTGTCAAGGATGTTGCCATTTACATTCTGTAACTCTCTAAGTTAAGTCTTGTTTGTGGGTTGGCTCTAAATTTTGAAAATCAGTAAATAGCTCACATGAGTAGTGGCTGTGTGAAATAATGTAGGTCATAGTTTTTCATGTCTTTGATATTTGTCTTCTGCATTCTGATTTTGTAAAAAAAAGTTTGTTATTTTATTTCGCATGCATATTTGTATCCTTTAAATACTTACTTTTCTTGTTTTCTGCCTATTCCTTCTGATAACGTTGGGTTCTTATGTTTCATGAGTACCCTGAGTAGAGTTTTCTTTAAACTCTTCTCTTTCTTGAGTTACCTGTACTTCCTCAGAAACTTCAAAAAAATGATTTGCCTAGTTATTTGTTATCCATGGCTTCCCTCCTATGTCTTATCAGCCTTGGTTTGTGTAAACACACACATTTGTTCTTGGCCTTTCATAGCACACTCCTGAGTGTAATTCTTGGTTCGCTAGGTCCCAGGGCTCTCAGGAGCCTGCTGGCTCCTAGGATGCGAGCATCAGAAGAACTGCATCCTGTTGTACCGCCTTCCTCATGAGAAATTCTACATCTTCCCAGCTCCTAGGTTCAATTTCTTAGAAAGAAGCCTTCTTTTCTTTTGCTTATGGTAAACCCTGTTGCTTTCACTCTGCATTGGGGGTGAGAAAGAGGAATCAAGTTTCAGATTAGAGATCTTCATTTAAGCTTCTGTTTTAAGCTTTGGTTTTAACTCCCATCCTCCAATGTCTCTGTCACTCCACCAGGTGGACTGCTCCCCCCTGACCTGCAGCCCTATCATGGTCTGTGCAGGCCTGTGGCTTCCTGAAGTCCATTTCCATCTGGCCACACTATCCCCTCACCTTTCTCAGAAATTTGCGCAATGACCTTAACCCTGGAAATGCAGCCTTTGACTTTGTTCACTCTTTCATTCTTATTCCAAATTTAGTATTATTCTCTCATTCCAGTGAGATTTGTGCTCTTTCTGCCATCTTGAACTGAAAGTTCACCTTAGAAATAAAACCATTTTAAATGTGTTTTTTAAGTCCTTATTTTACCATGAGTAAGTCTAAACACATCTATCCCTGATATGGATAATGGAAATTATTTATAGTTTATTTTACTGATAATTTCTGTGTTTGGAAGGTGGGAGGTAGGTGAAATCTTTTACTGTACATTACTCTGTGGTGAAACTTCTGACATGAGAATTTGTTTAAACCTCCTGCTTACCAAGTTTTCTGCATATCTCTCCCACTAACCACCACTTATTGGTCCAGGGATGATTCAAACTATACATAATAAAGACCTCCTTTTTCTTTCTTTTCTTTTCTTTTAAACCCTGTTACCAGTAATGACTGCTGGCTCAGTTGCAGTGAAGCTGTTGATGTGTGAGCGGCACTGGGGTCATGTCTACACCGTGTGGAAGCAGCCTGTCCGAGAGGACCCAGTTGAGCTTTGGAGGGAAGAGCAGGTGAGATAACAGAGAAGAGAAGATCCTGGTAGCGTATCTCCTTTTTGTTCCAGTCACTCTGTGAGGCTGAGCGCCACGCATACTCTCTATATACTTCAGCTTCCTAGCCAAGAACTCTCCTTTTCACTGAAGTAGCAGTGTATCTCCATCAAATGACACTGAAAGTTTGACTTTGCTTCACAGCCCGCCATCATCTCAGTCTCTCAGCAACATATGCAAATTGACTCATGAATAATATACTCACAAACAATTCCAACTCTGCCCATTATATTCACTTTCTCAAGACCCAGGTATGGAAGCAGTTTCAGAAAATAGCCAAGTGGTTCTAATACTGAGTGACACAGAAATATGGAAATCGTTGTTTGTCTCTTAGATTCACTTATTTCATAAAAGGACAACTTTTTTTGTTATTTAAAATAATTGAGATGTGGTACAATCATCTAAAGTTTACTAGAGATGGGAATTGGAAAATAATTTTAAAAAACTTTATTTTTAACTATAGTTAATAGACTAGTATTTCCTGTGACCTTTCTGGACTCTCAGTGGAAAAGGTGATTGGTCAATTGTTCAAACTTTACTTCAGAACTGAGCTACTCTGTCAGATCTCTTCTAAACTAATGAAATCAATTATCTGGGTTGTTGAGCAGGTGTTAGACTGGATTCTCTAAAAATAAATCATGTCAGGCTAATCTGAATTTTTTGATGAAGTTACTAAGTTAATTTATGAAAAGGCATAATTTATCTTGATTTTAGCACTGCTTTTGATAAAATGTCTCTCAAAAAACTTGTGGATAGGTCCCAACACACTGGCATTAGCATAGGATTGCTAAAATAGATGACTAGTTGGCAAATTACAGGAGGTAAAAATACATGGGCAGTGATTCTTTGGGGCAAAGTTGACAAGCAGGTTTCCTTCCCAGGGGCTCAGAGGTTGGGAATGCTTTAAGCAAGATTTATATTGCTAATTCAGCAATAGGATCACAGCGTGCCAGCAATTCAATCTGCTGATGACTCTTAGATAGTAGTTTGAGATTCATAGGAAGATGGGCAACAGGGATCGATAAACAAGAACCCCAAACAAGATCAGAATCTGAATCTGGAATTTCAGGCTAAAGGAGCAGCATGGGAAATGAATAATGACATCCCTGAGGCAGAGGCAGGGGTTTGGGTGGTGTTGGACCTCACCGTTGTTGAATGGTCTGTGCTCTGCAGCTAAAAAGCTCGAGGCTGAGGATCATTTGAGATTCTTTATTGTGGGCTTGAGTCTTCTCCACCCCAAGCAAAAATTTTGGGCTTCCAATCCCATCAAGTATTTGCTAGAAAACTCTTATCTCTTCTCATTTAGCCCTCTAATAAAAGACAAGCACTTATCCTGGCCAGTGTGGCCTACCTGGTTGGCACATTGTCCATAAACTGAAAAGTCACCGGTTTGATTCTTGGTCAGGGCACATGCCTAGGTTTCAGATTCGGTCCCTCTGAGAGCACGTACAAGAGGTCATTGATCGGTGTTTTTCTCTCCTCTCCTTCCTTTTCCCTCTCTCTGAAAATCAATGAACATGGCATTGGGTGAGGATAAAAACAAAAAAAGACCAGCACTCCTCACTTTGCTTTGAAATACATAGAAATCTCTTTATTCTCAAGGGTGACATACAATACAAAGAATCCAATAATTCTGAGAAATTTGGCCTCCTCAAACAATACCCTAAGTACTCTTCCTAGTGGTTGATCTCTTTGGCGGCTTCCCGTTGTGGGTCCAGAAACTTTCCTTAGTAGGGCTGCTCCTGGCAGCAGCAGGAGCTTACTCGTTGGCAGTGACTCCCAGCGTAAGTTCTCAGGGATGGTTCTCCTACGACAAAGATCCAGGGCACTTTCTCAGTATCTCACCACCATCATGTCTCATGTGTTCCATCAGATCTGCAGGGGGTGTTCACAACTCTTAATAGTTAGCCCTGGATACTATCTTTGGTTGTTAAAAATCTCAGTATCAATCTTTTTCTGGACCCATCTGTAAGGATGACTCATAGCAGCAACTAAACTTTACCTTCTATTTTCCATTTCATGAGAAATTTAACAGCTTTTTGAAAGAACTAAAATTGTACATGAGACTCTAGCACCTTGTTACTGAAAGTATGGTCTTCAGACTAGCAGCATTGGCAATGTCTGGGATCTTGCTAGAAATAGACAATCTTGGTCCTGTCCTTTTCCATTGAAAACAATACACACTCAACATTATTTCCAAGGGGTTTCTATGCACACTAAGGTCTTGGAAACACTGATTTAGAGGACAGGTTGAGAGAGAATATAGCTTTGATTAGAAGTTATATTCTAACCAAATATTCTATTCTTTTTAAAAAATATTTTATTTATTTATCCTTAAGGGGGAAGGGAAGAAGAGAAGGAAAGAAATATCAATGTATGGTTGCCTCTCATGTATCTCCTGCTGAGAACTGGCCTGCAATCCAGGCAGGTGCCCTGACTTGGGATTGGACCGTGATCCTTTGGTTCACAGGCCTGAGCTCAGTCCACTGAGCTACACCAGCCAGGGCCAAATATTCTATTCTATATTTTGGTGTCTCATGGTTAGAAATTGACAATGCCTGTTTATCTTCAATTATATATTTTTCTTCTATATCATACTGAAAAGATTTATGTAGAAGGGAGCAGTCAGGTGCTTCAGATGACTACATTCTCTGGTTCCTGTGGCTTGAGAGCATCCCCTCTCCCAAATGGTGCATCGAACAGTAAAAGGAACGTGGTTATGTAGCCTAGGACACACACAATAGAAGGAGAAACTGCTAGAATCAGAGCACAGCACCACGGAATTTGTACAGTTGCCCTGGTGCAGACATGCTGTGACTGAGATTATACAGACCTGCACATTGGTGAAGAAGATGAGGCTGCTAGCCCATGCGGGAGCAGCAACCCTCCACCCTTAGTCCCCAGCCCCCGTTGCTGCTGAGGTGCCCACAGTGGCAGAACAGAGCTGCCCTGCCTCTTCTGGCTGCATCGTTTCCTTGGGGCCACCATGTAGAGATCCGGAAGGTAAAGTATGAAAAATCAGATTACCTTTCAGTGAACTTTGTTCTGAATAAAGTGAATCATGCCTCTGTTTCACAGATCTTCAGAAGCAATGCTATATTTGGTTCTGAATACTGCACGTAATTAAGGAGTTTCAAATTGGTGAATGATACTGAAAATGACTATACAACTTATTAAAAAATCAGAATAACTATTTTTGTGAGGAGAGATTCAATGGATATGTTTATGTCTGAGAAATAAAATTTTTAAATGGGCTGAGGAGATCTGATTGCATCTAACAATCTTAGAGGGATAGTAAATAAATGACTGTGTATAAAGACCACGCTGAAAGTCTGAACCGAGGGAATATTGCCAATTTCAACTGTCTGTGTGATTCGGTAAGCTGGGGCAAAGCATGGTGTCAGCTCAAAAATGTAAACACATAAATTGGGGGAAAAAAAAACCATCCTGTCTCCCTTTCTTTTTTTCAACACTTATCATTTGTTTCTTTGTGTGGGTGTTGCCCAGGCTAACTTTAAGGTTAGGAAGTGCCTGATAAAGTTCACAATAAGTGAATTTCCCAATAAAATGCATAGAAATAAAGTTCACAATAGAATTTAGGTAGCTGTAAAGGTTTAGTTAAAGCAAATAATTACCAAGAAATTTTACATTTTTATTGAGCTAATTTTTTAATAATCTCAGATCAAATATTCTTAATGAAGTCAGTGATTAAATATGAGATCTGGAAGTAGAGTCATCTATGGGAAGAAATACTATTTGCCCATAGACTTTGCATCAATACCAGTTGGTACGCACCTGGCTAGATAGATGACATAACATGAGTCCCCTAAACAGATTACATTTGAATTTGATTCCTGGGTCCAAGTATTGAAGAAAACATCAGGTCAATTGAGCTTACTTCTAAATGACTGATCAGTCATAAAACAGCATCTAGACAAATTTTTAATGCTCTTTTGGACAAATTTTCAAACTTTAGTAAAGCCTTTAAAAATACAAGTTAGAAAGTATTGAAACTTTCAGGAAAAAAAACCATCTAAAACATAATGATACTTTTGACCCATAATACTGTCTTTCTTTGTGCCTTTATTTCTCTTTCACTCATTTTTTTGTAGTATAAACATACATTTAGGATAGTTTGTGATATTAATATTGTTTTATTTCTTCAACTTATAGCTTAATGCCATCTCAACATTTGGGCAATTAGATTAGGAATTTTGTGTCTTCATATGTCAATTCGTTATTGATATGCAGGAAGCCACTTAAACTTTGATTAAATAAAATTTGAAGCATGTAGAAAGTTTTCTTATTGAATTGTTAGCCTCAGAGCATCCTACCAGGGAAACCATCTGAGAGGTCACAGAACAGGAAGTTCATAGACAGTATAAAAGTACTTGAAGAACGTAGTTTATGAAATCTTAAATTTTCCTCAACTTTTTTTACTACTTTTGTAGCAAAGGAAAGAATGAAAATTATATAAAAAGTTGAAGGTTAAAAATATAAGCAAGAAGAAAGAAATCGGACAAGTTAACAGATTTAGGATGGGGTACGTGCCAGCGGACGGCTGCATTTTGGAGTGTGCAGTGTTCTCATGTCTTCTGTCTTTCTGTCCCAGCAACCTTCCCACTTATGGTGTGGTAACGTGACTAGAGCGGAGGTTTGAGCAAGAAGGCTCATGAATGAAAGGTGTTCTGGGCCAACAGTCTAAGCTCTCCCTCAGGGAAAAGCAAAGGCCTCAGAGCCTGGCAGAGCCTAGCTTGGCAACTGGACTGTCGAGCATCCACAGGGCTAGAATGTGACTGTACTTGGAATGAAGGATGTGTACCTCTTCTAGAGGAATCATCCTACACGCATTTGTCTTTTCATTCCTTTCTATTTATATGTAATACTCTTGTTTGTTCCATTATATTTTCTACTTTTTTGCTTTACCTTTAACATGTTTCATAAGCTCTGAACTTACCATC